CTTTAAGGTATTTGTGCATGTACCTATATGTGGTGTCACCTGTTTGTGCTGCGTCTTCGAGGCTAGCGTTCTTTGCGCGGCACTCGAGGCTATTCGTGCGAGTGCACGCAAACGAATTGCAAGACGAAGACACGCACTCACGCAGCATGCAACGTGCGGCACTCTGGGCAGTGGGCAGTATTTCGAATACCGCCTAAATACAGTTTTGGGCGCTGTTCTTCGCAATCAAACGCGATATTATGCACTCTTGGCGATGGCAATCGTATGTAGAATGGGGAACTTGCTGCGCATTTCGCGTAATAAACATGGAAGAAAAACAAGAAAAAAAGCAGAACAAGTAATGGAACGGGGTCGGTATAACTATTGAATTTTTGGTTGCCTGACCTAATTTTTTTATGTCGCATTAACAACATGCTGTTTTAATAGGCTTTATTCCTCCGAATGAATTTTTTGAATTAAACTCGTATTGATTACATTGTTCTCCCTTACTTGTACCGGTTTTTCTTATGACAAATTATATTTTTAGAGCCGAAACTTTCTTCTCAGCGCTTGATTCTTGGTACATGCGTATAGATTCCACTCTTTATTTGGGCCAATTCTTTTTCTTTCTACCCGGGCTTAGATTTAAGTCTGAAATGGACGACTATATGGGAACAAAATATGTTCGGAAAAGTATTTGAAGATGATGAAATATTCTTGTTGTATTTCTATATGGCATTTAAATACTTTATTAAAAATTGCGATTGTAATTGTAATTAAATGCATTCTTGTAGAAGTATATTCTGTTTGTATTGCGATACATTTTTGGAAGTATTTACCCATCCCTGCCGGCATCAACTACCCAACATTCTAATATTTACAAGTCTTCAACACAGAGTGCGATCTCCTCAGCAGGACGCATCGATTCAACCAGCTCTTCTCGTTCACAAAAAAAAAAGAAGCGGGCCCTCATGCTCTCCTGATAGTTGGAGACTTTAATGCCGCGCACAATGCGTGAAGCTACCCGAGCTGCAGTCCCAAGGGCAGAGACCTCTGGCTACAGATAGAATCACATCACCTCACATTAGAAACCAACCCAACCGCACCCGCACGCATAGGCATCAGTGTACAAAGAGACACAACACCAGATCTCACCCTCTCATCACGCATGAACCGGCTCACGAGCACGGTCACTGAACTCAGCCTATATGCTCCGCGTCACTAGTTGTGTGCACTGCAGGCGAAGGCAACGCCTGCCGATGAGAGAAAGTGCGACCACTAGGGAGGCGGGACGGGAGATGAGGAAAAGGGGAGAAAAGGAGACCACTAGAAACGTTAGAGTGGAGAGGAGGTTTCTCTTCTCCTCCCCAGCCTTTCTAGTGCTTGCCCTTTCTCTCCTGTCCGGGCGTTACCTTCGCCTGTACTGCCCGCAACCAGTGTTACGGAATGGGCACCCCCACTCCATTCCAATTCCATTCCGGGGAGTTAGAGGTTCCGACAATTCCATTCCTTTCAGCTCCTCGGGATGGAGACACTGCCCATTCCCACCCCTGGAATGGCTTGAACTTCACCATCACAATCATCTAATTCCTAAAGATGAAAAAAAAAAAAAATCGCCCATGACAGCCACATTGTGTTTCTGAAAAGAACATCATGAAGCTGCTTTGAGGATGCAGAAGCATCCTCAAAGCACTCATTCTGCTAAACCGAAGGGTGGTCGCACAAAGCGCTTCGTGGCAACCTCTTGTTATTGCAGACATCGATCGCGCGATCAAGCGTAAAATGCTTGCGAGTCCCACCAGATGCCAAAAACTAAAGCCACATATTTTCTTCGCAAACAGACCGTGTGCACCCTCCAAAGATACATGGTTAGCGTCAGGCACGTAGCCAGTATTTTGTTTCGGAAAAGGAAGGGGGGGGGGGGGGGGGTTGTCACGCATATATCGCGACTCTAGCGACCTATAGGGGGCGCCACAACCAAACAAACATGGCGGCTGAGTCCAGGTCGCGTCGGCTCGGCCGGGCCGCCTGAGCAGGTGGCGCGTCCAATTTAACAGATTTTCTTTTGTTTAATGCCCAATTTTATAGGTATTTGAACTGAGACGGTTAAGTGTAGCCGATGCACATAAACTTGCAAAGCATAGTTTTGTTTTCCCGGTGTTTTTTGTTCTTTTCATGACGAACTTTCGTTTCAGAGATTTCGTTCAAAACCGAAACTATGGGCTCCGGAGAGACAGTAACATACTAATCAATTTTGATCATCTAAGGAAAGCGGCGATGACTACACAATTGTTCCGCCGAGAGCAATTTTCAGCTAACTCGCATGCCACGACCATGCGACTTATCTGTACTCGAAATCGAGCTTCTGTGCGTATCCGCGTTTAAGAAACAGCTACAGTCGTCTGCTCGGTCAACAACACAGGCTGCAGGAAAATTACGAAAATTAAGCAAGCGCTTCTTGAGCCAAGGAACATGTTAACCCGCCGGCGCCCCACTAAGCAGCTGATACTCGTATTTCAGTTCAGGTTTTAGTAGCAATCGAGAAGTCATTTTGACGAGCGGGTTATGTATTATATTACGTACTATGTGCCACTAAAGCGATATTGGTATATTCTTTAGGTTGAAATATGAGCTTAGTTGACTAGTTTGTAAGTGAACTGCTGAATAAAAGTATATTTGACAGACAGATAGATACTAATTAAACTTATCCAAATGGCTCTAGCCGACAGCACGGTCAGAAACTGAAGAGAGTCTTCATCGGAGATTCACGCAGAACCTCTCTGCATTGAACTTTGCTTTGAATCCTGACGGAGAAAATGAGTATTTTTTCGTGGCCGGTGAACCTGATCAATGTAGACGTATATTGCTGCTGGCTTCGACGGGGGTAAAATATAAATATTGGAGGCGCGATAGATCAAAATGCAGTGACAGCTTCTAACATTGCGAGACTCATTCCCCACTTTTGAAAACAGATCGTTTCCCTCATTCACCATTTGTAGCGAGCAGGTTTTCCTGAACCAAGTAATTGCGAAATCAGCCCAACTCCTTCAATGTGGTCCAGAGACGTTTTCGGCGAAAAGCAGCCAAAATGAATAGCCAACGCACCGACCGGCGTGGATGGCTCAAACTTGAAGCTAACCAAACACAACCAAACTAAAAAAAAAAAAAAAAAAAAAAAACAGCTATCGAATCTTTCCATTCACTTGACTGCAACATTGGTGTTCCTTCCAATCAAATGCCTCGTCTGTCGTTCTCAGTCCACTGTTCTACATCCTTATAAAGAAACCAATTATCAGTTACCAAGCAGTCGTCACTTTGAATGTGATTCGAGAAAGACAAGAAATCAAAACGTTTTTCCGTGATTCCTCCCGATCCAAGAAATCGAAAGCACGCGACCGTGTGTTGTGAAGTAAACGGGCTTTCAAACACGTGATGGAAGAAAACAATCTACTGAGGCTTCACCACACTAATGAACACTCAGGCAAACTTAAGAAATTTTCGGACCTTCACGACATTAGACTGTTCGCCACCGCGCCGACAGCACGTGTCCGCGAAAGCACCGAGATACGCGGAGGGGCGCGGAGCGACCTGGTCCGGCTGGTTCCCGGTTTTCCTGCTTGGTGGCGTCCGTTTTGCTGGAGTCGCGAATAGAAGGCTCGCCCTGGAAGCGGGACAACTGAAGATCCTCTCTACCGTTCTTAGCTTGTCAGAGGCTATGAGGAACTTTGTGACTTTTGACATGTAGTCAAGATGTGCTACATTCAATAAAAAGTCAACAGAAAGTCTATAGCTTTTCTATTGACACAGGCTACAGAAAGTCAACTGAACATTTTCAACACAAAGTAAACAGAACGTCAGCAGTGTTTTTGATGACACTGTCAACATGAAGTGAGCAGAAAAAAAATCTACGTAAAGTTAATAGAAAGTCAACAGCATTTTTTTTGACACAGGCTGACGAGAATCACTAGAAAATTTTAAACTCTAAATGAACGCACTTACTGTGGACCATGTCAACAAGAGGTCAAGGTCAAAAGAAAGTAATCAGAGTCAACAAGAAGCCAACGCGTCAACGGGTTTTGACACTAGTAGGTCCTGAGACTGAGAACGAACGAAGCATCATAAATGCGTAGAACCTGTTTTTGTAACTGTTTAGCATATTTTTCGAAGCTTTCTATGCGGGTGGAAGCTGAAGGAGCGGAGGGGACGAAAGCTCACGGGAACTTCAAAACACCGAGCACAGGTTGGAAAAATTCACAAGGTCTCTTATGCTATCCCTAAACGACTTGAAGGCGAAAGCTTAAGCGCCGATGCATTAAAGACAAACACATGATTTACGGATGTTGCGGTACGCGTCGGACTACTAAATGAAAGGTCGCTGGTTTGATGCCAGTCGAGGGACAGGAGGTATATTAAAATTTGCAGATGTCACGTAAACGTTTTGGGACCTTTTGTGTCGCCGGTTTTCGTATCTTTAATGTCGCCGACGTGTTTTCGCTTAAGGACTTTGAAGGTTGACTTATCGATGAGGCATAAAAAGCCTTCGCCTAAATAATTATTGGGCAGATGCAAAGCTAGCTGCCTTTTTTTCCGCTGCACTCGCCGAACGCGTTAGGACGCGGAAAGTCAACGTCTAGCGTTTTGGAATTCGCATTCGAACTTGTTCAATTAGTGCACTGGAGACAAAGGCAGCTAACTTTATGTCTACCCATTAATTCTTCTAACCAGAGCTCGGGGTTCTGACGTCTCCACTCGATATCGTCTCTTTCTTTTACTCGGTTTCTGACCGCATTGGGATGCATTCTCATGGCACTGTGGAATTAGTCAAGTGCAGACTTTCTTTTAAGAATGTTTTTTTCACGTATTCGCCGGAATCAATGCGTTTGGAGGAAAACTCACTCTTCTGTAACACAAAACGTTGTTTTACAAACATGGATTAGGATCACACAAGTAGATATCCACTCGCTGTTTTATTTTATTTTGAGGCACAAATATTGCAACGCTTGTCTTTAATTCAAAGATCGTTACGGAAACTGTTTTACTTTGCAATCTTCTCCAGATCCGTAAATTTTGCGTAATTGTCGGGCGCATTTGGTTGACGGGATGGGTGGGCAACCTTGAAAGCTGGCAGCTCCATGAGCGCGCAGTATATGCGCATGATGGTCGGAAACGGAGTCATGTCAATCCTGTTTTTTGCCGCGCCGAGCACCTGAGGCACCAGGCAGATGTCGGCCATGGTGACGCTGTCCCCGACGCAGTACTTTCCCGCCGTCTTGGAGAGCACTGCTTCTAAAGCTGGTCAAGAGAAAAGCAGATTGCAGTTGTATTTTATTCTATTCATCAAACCATAGCGGGCATTCCTTGCTTCTATTCGCCCGAAAGAATGACGCAATGCACTGGTTCAACAACATGGCGTAGTCAAATTTTGAGTGTCATCGTCGCCCACCGCGATCCACAAGACTTTCCGCGTATCCTTTTGGCTGGCTTTTTATCAATGGCGGAGTGCTGCCCGGGTGGCCGATTACACTTGGCCGCCTCGCGGTGGAGACGCCAAGATATAATTCAACATCCGGGCAATCTTATCGAAAGCTTTGTGACACCAGGGTGCCCACAACAGGGATATACAACTTTACAACAAACACAGCCGACGCTTAAGTTCAATACCTGTCTTCCCGGCACAGCCCGTCGCATCTTTTCGAAGCGTCGCCTGATCGCTCTTTTCTTTCTTGCGACGATGCCGAGGGTGCACAGACTGTGGCGAGGGAACGTCGACTCGGGTCACTCTAACATGTCGTCAAACCTCGACGCGTGCGACTCGCAGTTGGTTCAGGGTGCAAGAGTTTGGGCAGCTGACCAACTGAACAAACTCTCCTGGCTATGCCGGGCCAGGGCCCATAACGAACACTCGCGAAATCTGAGTTAGCTTCCAGTAAGAGTGCCATGCTTCATTAAAGAAATCAAAAAGCACGGAATGTTTTTTACAGCAGAGCTATTAAGGGCTAGTTTCCCCAGGATCGTGTCCGTCAGCAAACAAATGATGACACAGAACTCTGGACAGCTACCTGCTGGGGCGGAGCATAGAGGCACACGTCTCTCTCCACTTCACTCTGACATGCAGAAAGACGCTTTCTGATGATTCTTAGCCGACTTGCTAGCCGTGTACGCACACAGCTTACCCAGGTAAAAACCCGAACGCAAATTTACAACCTTTACTTTCCAAGCCTTTCCACTCTGGAAAGGCTTGCGGCCGGCCATTACTTTATTCCCACCATAGCACAGCTTCACTGCTCTTCCTTCTTCACCAGAGTGAAAAGGCTAAAAGGGTTTTAAATTGGAAGTGAAATATTTCATTTATTTAATTTTAAATTTGCGTTCGGGTTTTATTTTGGTAAGCTGTGTGCGTACACGGCTAGCAAGCCGGCTAAGACCCACAAGAAAGCGTCTTTCCGCATGTGAGAGTGAAGGCGCGAAAATGTGTGAGAGAGTGATGGCCTGTGTCTCCATGCTTAGCCCCAGCAGATTCCAGTTTACTCGTCAGAAGTGAGTTAGTTTTTTCTTTTATTGCAGCCAGGCCTGCACAGTGTACTCCAAAAAAATTTTAATCCAAGTTACTGAGTACCAGATGAAAAAGTGAACTAAGTAAAGCACTAATAGGAGGTAAAAGCGCTAAAAAACGACGGACAAGTTGAAGAATGACGAACACCACAGAGCGCTAACTTGCAACTGAAGTTTATTACTGAAAACACGTACACATATATACACCGTGACATCAAAAAGACAAGTGGCAATAATGCCGCTTCATCTATCTAAGGTTAATCTATGAATTGTTTACTCTTTCGAATGATTTCAAATATGCCACCTCAGAGCTATACAGGTTTACTGAGGGAGTGCTGACACACTTGCCCTGATCGTACTTCAAAATAAAAAACGCCTCCGATATCTCTCTCGTTTTTTTGTCTCTATTCCGAGTTAAGATAACGGTGTTGTCAAGCCGTGGGACACACCCACATCTGTTACAGTGTACAGCCAGATTGCCCGAGGGTGATGATCTAACTGACAGGGCATGTTCCCTGAGTCTGTCGTTTATGCACCGACCCGATTGCCCGATGTACACCTTTCCGCATGATAAAGGAATTTTATACACTATCATGCGGAAAGGTGTACATCGGGCAATCGGGTCGGTGCATAAACGACAGACTCAGGGAACATGCCCTGTCAGTTAGATCATCACCCTCGGGCAATCTGGCTGTACACTGTAACAGATGTGGGTGTGTCCCACGGCTTGACAACACCGTTATCTTAACTCGGAATAGAGACAAAAAAACGAGAGAGATATCGGAGGCGTTTTTTATTTTTTTATTTTTTTTTTTTTTTTTATTTTGAAGTACGATCAGGGCAAGTGTGTCAGCACTCCCTCAGTAAACCTGTATAGCTCTGAGGTGGCATATTTGAAATCATTCGAAAGAGTAAACAATTCATAGATTAACCTTAGATAGATGAAGCGGCATTATTGCCACTTGTCTTTTTGATGTCACGGTGTATATATGTGTACGTGTTTTCAGTAATAAACTTCAGTTGCAAGTTAGCGCTCTGTGGTGTTCGTCATTCTTCAACTTGTCCGTCGTTTTTTAGCGCTTTTACCTCCTATTCATGAATAACCAACTAGCCCAAGTACACACCCTTCTAAAGCACTAAACATTCCGAAACGCAACTCGTAGCTTTCAAGATGTTCCTTATTTACAACGTTGTGAAAGTGACAGTCAAGCAACTATACTGGGCGTCAACCACGTTGTGCTACTTTCTCAAGGCTTTTTGTGGATTGCTGAATACCACTGGTAGTGCAAGGAAGAAAAGAAAAAAAAAAAAGGAAAGGGGGGGGGGGGGGGAGAAGTGAGATCGGCAGAGGCACGAGATGATCAGGCGGCAGCGCGAGACGAAGCTTGGCCGATGAACTATACATGATCGGTGCTTCCCTTGATTGTACTGTACATATGTAAATATCTCGCTCAGTAAATAAGTGTTCTGTTACAGGTCAAACGTTTGTGAACGACTCATTTCGCTAAAAAGCGTCGAGCGTAGCTCCACAGTGCTGCAGCCGCGCCTTGCTGCGAGAGCACATGCACTACGTCACTTCCTCGTGCATTCGTATGCGCTCGCGCAAGTGGCTTTGACAGCAGGCACGTAGCCAGGGGGGCAGGGGGGGGGGGGGGCATGAGGCTCGCCCCCCCCCCCCCCCCCCCCCCCCGAAATCTTCAACTTTGCTGGGGCCTCCTCTTCCTCCTTTCCGTCATACAGCATTTTGTCATGGGCAAGCCCCCCCTCCCCCCCCTCCCCCGAATCAAAATCCTGGCTACGTGCCTGTTTGACGGTGTTGGAGCACTGCCGATGGTATGCTAGCCTTGACAACGCAGTACACAATAGTTGAAGCCAAGCTGAATTTTGTAATAATAATTATAAAAGAACTTCATTACCACATTTTTTTTCCACTGTGGGGTTTGGTGTAAAAGATACGCGATTAATTGGTCTAACAAGCACGCAGCTTTTACTTGTGGAAATGAAAAGCCTGTCTTTATTCTCTTTTCGCCCGGTGCCCATACATTTCACTGCCATCTTTAGCGTGAATGGAGGGCTATACCGTCAATATCGTTGTGTGTGGCCACTAAAATGTTTGGCTCGGTATCCCTTTAAGATAGAGTTACTTGAGTCGAGTGCTATAGGAGTGAAGTACGTTGCTGGGTCTAGTTTGTGCATTAGTAATTACAAATAAATTAGCACAAAAAAGACAGAGACAAGACAGGCGCTACAGGGCAGCGCCTGTCTTGTCTTTTTTGCGGTATTTTTTCTGTATCTAATTATTCAAGTTACATAAAAGTCTGATTGTAACCCCTGTGATAGTTGCTAGTTGACGAGAGCAACGCATTTACTTCCGCCTTTCTTGAAGACCGAGTTCCCTCGTTAAGTGGTTTTCACACGGGTGAACAATGGGCGATGTGCGTAACGTGTCGACAGCAGGCGCAACTTCTTCCTCAGCGTTGTCGTTCACTCGGACGAAGTACCGGGGGGTGGGATGTCAGCGTTTGCAGTCCTGTTTATCGATTTTTACAATTGACACCACAGCAGACGAATTTAGCGGCCTCAGAATTTTATACCAGATAGTGTAACGACATAATATCATGGAAGACAAACCGATTCGCCGCCAAACCGGGATTCTTTGTCTCGCCCGACCGTCCATCCCTTTCCTCGCTGCGTGGCGACGTCATAGCGCCGCAGCGCAAAAGCCTGATGTTTTCTTCACTTGATGCGCTCACAGAGGAGAAATTTCCGGGATTTCTTTCTCGTGTGAATAGCCCTTAAAGGACCAGTGGACCTGCGACAGCCACAGACACCGGCGCTTGCGTTCACCTACCGCCGAGCCACAATTATCTAGAACCCACCCGGAGAAATCCTCCCAAGTTCCTTTGCCCGAGAAGCAGTGGAACTTAGACGGACTTGTTCTGCCGTATGCATATGCAACTCATCTGTCGCGTTTATGTGGGTTTGTCTGGGGTAAGCTCCTTTTCCATTTAAATTTCACTTAAATTTAGAAGTAGCAAAAAAAAAATCCCATTTAGAGAAAGCAATTATCTATTTATTACTATCTAAAGCACTATTATACATCATACGCATTTTTGTTTTTGTTTCATTTCGCTTTATTCTGAAATATTAATGAGGCTGTGAGAAACATTGTTCGAGCTCTATTACTAGTTTACTACCTAAACCGCTATTATGCATTGTTTGCGTCATTGTCATAATTTTAATATATGAATTACTATCTATATTTTGCGAAATTTTTCTCTTGAATTAAATTTAGAATAACATTGTTCGAGTCGCAAAGTTAAACGGTCATTCAACCTTAGTTTATACGTTATTGCTGGTCAAATGGGTTTGGTGACTGGCACTTAATGCTATGTTAATTACCTTTTTGTCGCTCACCATGACACCAATAATGTCTCAAACCGGCCTGTTTATTTTTATGGCCGGAGATACGGAACAAAACCATCAAGGGACTACGTGTTTGCATCAACACAAACCATATTTATCGAAGCAACGAAAACGTTGAGTTACGGACTTGGATGGAGCCAATATTTTCACGGTTTTCCGTAACGTTTTTGTCACCTTGAAATCCTTTGGTGATAAAATGCGTGCACCAGTCGAGATTCTTTCCGACTTCCAGTCTGCGGGTAACGCTGACATTCTGGAAGGGTTGAATGCCAGATGCGATCAAATGCGCAATGGCGCGAACCTGCGAAAATGTGCCAACAAATTAGCAAAACAGCTCACGAATACCCTTCGTGCATAATGTCAAACTGCGCTCTATGAGCACTGTATAACATTATGTCACTGAGACTTTTGCACCATAGAGATCGCCGAACAAGACTAGCATAATGAAACTCGTAAAGGGTGGAAACGTAACCGTTATTTAATATCGCTTACGCAAAAGGACGCAATTGACGCATGCACAGTAGTTCCAACAAACATGGCGGCAATCAAAGTGTCTGTAGCTACGGAGCAGCTGTGCATAATCAAATTTGTGCGAAGGAGAAAGTTGACCCAGCTGAAATTTTGACAAGGTTTGAAGCACAGTATGGAAAACAACCGATGTCACGGGGAAGAACATGGACAAGAGCGTATGATAAGTGCTAACAGTTTGGCGAAGGACAGCCAGCGACAAATGAACAGAGGAACATTATAGTTCGACTCTATGTATAGTATAATCACGCAGCCTATCTCTTTCTATGCCAAGAAAATCAAAGAGCTGCTAAATTTTTTACAGTGGGGCCTGGGCGCTTACGGTGAATACTTTAAGAAATAACAGCATACTTTTGTGTTTGAAAAATTTTCGATTCTTAGCGTAGGAATGAAATTCCCCGTGCGAGTGAGGGCGACGAACCACGTGCTCTGGCAGCAGTGCCGGGCCGAAGGACTGTGGAAGCCACGCTAGCCTTGTCAATGTAGAACGATAATAGTTGACGCCTAGTATAGACGCTTTAAACACGCGCCACATTGAACCACCATAGCCGACCTTCTCTAGTTTTACCGAAATGCCGAGCCACTGAAGTGGGCGTTTACGAGCCTCCACAGAGGCCGATGCTGGGAAGAAAGACACATAGCACCTAAAGTGGCAATCACCTGTCCTGCTGTGGCAATGATGGAGCGAATCGAACGTAATAAGAGGACACACAAACTGAAGGTCGGTTATGGCGGCGCCCATGTACAGATACCTGAAAGCGTCTGTAGGTTGTGATTTCCTTGTTCGTCGAAACGCGACTGATTCTTGTTTACAGAAAAAGAAAACGGACTTTTTAAGGTATTTCTGTTATTTACTCTCCTCTTTCTGGAAGGCCGAGTTCTTTTTCGAAAAGAACCGGTGGGTTTCGGGAAGTTGTAGTAGAGGTAAGACTATTGCTCGGACTAGCGGACGACACCGGTGTTCGGCGTCCGAACGCTGACCCTGACACCACCTATTTCTCTGCGAGAGAATTAAGCGGGTAGATACAAAAGCAGCTAGCCTTTGTTCCTACCCACAATCCTTCCAATGAGAGCCCGGTGCTGTGACGTCACGGTTCCCGCTGCGCGAAAGCAGACGAACTTGCTCGCCGATGACTAATATGCACTCGGAAAGTTCCTGTAGTACAGACTGCACTTTCAACTAGAACATATGTCTTACGACTTCTGAGAATTGCGGTGCTCATAGAATGTGTACCATGCCGAGCTAATTCGACCAGAACATTTCCGGAACATGTTGACATATATGCGTTTTCAATTCTTATGAAACATTGTAACTGTCAGTCTGTTTTAATTGAGCGGGCTCGAACATGTACGGGATTCAGAGTAACCTATTCAAGTACTGTTGATTTTGTGATTCCTTTAGCAAAGATTTTGTTTTCATGACGAGATATGTTTTGACACCGAAAGTAGACATCCTGAATATATAAGAAGTTTTGAACCAACCTTTGCTCGTAGAATGATATCGTCTGGCAGCAACCTGGGCTCGGGATACTTCTCTTCCAGATACTCGATGATCGCGAGCTACAGGAGAAAGTCATTTTAACTCAAAGGCGCGAAAATGCAACAAAAAAACAATCTCGTTTTAAAGGAATGCTGGAGACAATTTGAAACGTTTTGTAATGATCACATTTTACGAGTGCGGGAGAACATTGTAATGTAGGGGTACTTTTTCAAAAGTTTTGGACGAGTGTTTGTAAGAAAAGTATTTTCAACAGCCAAAATACTATAAGAAAATCTATCATCATTTAAACGAAATTTTTAAAAGTTCACATTTTAGCAAATGCAGAACCAGCACCGACAACGCCGACAGCTCCAGAGAAACAATGTATGGAGCGTTCTTCTCATTTCTCGTGGAGCAACTCTCCCTCCACTGGGATGGCCGCACTTTGGAGCACATGGAACGAAAATCGCGCCGATAACCTCATGAATCCTGGGTTCAACCCCCCTCTCCAGTTTGTTTCATTCTGGAGGGGCATCGCACCGGCGTGCAGTCTTGTATAACTACTGCGTGATGCACGAGAAAGATCCCAGCAAGCAGTCGTACTGCACTGCCTAAATGTTTCATCTGCAGCGTGCAACAATGTTGCCATATGCTCTAGCAGACTAAACTCACCTTAAATAAGTAAAGTCCTCCAGGCTAATGTCTGTGCATAAGTATGGAGGTTGGTTTGAAGTTATACCAAGAAAAGGTGAAGGTGAAGTTTCCCCCTAATGGCCTCCTTCAGTCTGACGAACACCGGTAACTTCAAACGTCGCTCTCCCTTCTCTTTTCTTGGCAAGTTTTTACCAACCTACCCACTAATAAGCACACCTTGTTTAAAGATTTGTGTTATACAGTGAACATAAGTTTGTTGTGTAAAAGTTTAGGCAGCGTGAAGTACGATGCAGTACGACTCTTCGTTGGATGTTCTCAGGCAAGAGAGGGCACCGGGAACCAGCACGCGTACGGTAAACTTGAAAGATATAGGTTCCTATTTGCACAATCGACAGGATTGTACCCGACTTATCTTTTCCCTTCGATCTTTACATCTGGACTATGGTGCCATGGAAATGTTAATTTATCTACAAAATGCCCCCCCCCCCCAAAAAAAAAAAAAAAAAAGTTGCAGTTTTTTATTTGCAAAAATACAACTACCCATCACCGAGCGTTCATTTTTCTCTCGAATGTAGCGCTAGAGGTACGAAACAGGTGCCAATGTTTCAACAGAAACCGTTATCTTATAAAAAAATATGAAAGTTATTTTCGAAAATTTTCATAGGGAAAATGGGGCCTATTTTTGTACCTTTCCGGTGACTGGCGCCGTAGAGCTTCATGTATTTTACAGCTTGGCGGCCGCCATTTTCCCATTAGAAATTTCAGAAAATCACTTTTGAAAGTTTGGCGTCTGGTTCGGACTTTTAGGGCTACTTTTGGGCGGAAAATGAGCGTTCGGCAACACGTAAAATAGTTTCCCGTAAAAAAAAAAAAGAAAAAAAAATTGGTAGTACTTTTTGAGGGGCTACTTTTTATTGCTAGAGTACGTCGCGTCTCGGATGCATAACTGACCCTTTTCAAAACCCCATCTAGCAACATTGAAAGTCGTCATTTCTTTGGTACGAAGCGAGTGATTGGATTCGCGTTCCCGCCAAAGGCTGACGTCGTGCTCGTGTCCAATGCAGGCTAAGAGTACCTGCCTAAACAATGGCGTACTCGAATAATAGGCGCAGCATGCGGGCACTTTTGAAGAGGGTGTATGGTATTATCAGCCATGGGAGGATACCACCACCAATTACCCGTCGTCAAAAGGAAGCTCAATATTTAATTGAGTATCGCTTTAAAAGCACTGATGCAAGTTTGGTATACACGCCAACTCAGCGTTAGAAAGAACACAAAAAGGAGCGTAAAGAAGCCACGTGCACATGCCCAGTTGCTCCGCCAGCGCCGCCGTTTTCGCGACGTCAGAAACACGGGTTAACGAATCGCTCATATTACCGATTGTGAGAGTGGTTCACCGTCGATATCGAGCACCGGCAGCTGTTGCATCGGGTTCTTCTTCGTGAATTCCGGGGACAGCTGTTGGGTTCAATAAAAATGTACGTTTTTATTGATGGCTCGGGCTAGGGTGCCTCAGGAACAGCCGGCAACTTTGAAACACTCTAGCTCGGGTGTCTATGCTAGGTGGTGCAAGCTACCGCCCGTTAGAAAGGGTACAGCCGTTAGCATCCACCTATCCATCCATCCATCTGCGTACGTTAAGGTAGGAGGCAACGAGGTTGGTAGGAGAGGTGGTGTGGCGATATCGCTCGCTTCTCGCAGCAACCGAGCGAGGTCCCACGCTTCGTGCCTCATGTGTCGGTATCACCATGGTATTGCTTCTGTGAGCTGCAGGTGCAGGGCCACAACAACTAAGACCGGTTGATTTTTTTGGAAACTGGGCTCACGGAAAAACGGAGCAAGCAAGAAAATATAAAGACGTATCACGGGTCGGGTTCCTATTTACGGCTGAGCAATGCCTCTAAAGGGTTGGTAACATGCTCAATCCGACCATTTTTGTTCGCATCCTTATCTCGACGTCTAGCCCTGGAGAGCAAGGTAGCCCTGCTTCCTGTACACAAATTATGCTTCGCTCTGTGGGCTTGAATTGTTGGGCTGCTCTCACCCTCCCGATCGTCACCTTCTCCTTGCCCACCGTAGCTCGGGCGAACCCATCCGGCCACCTTGTTTAGGAGTCTTGCTTGCTCGGGATAGCCTCGTACAGCATAAGTGTATCTTTGGGTTTATTATTTATTTAATCTACGTATCAAAATCTCCGCAAAATTGGGTCATACAAAAAGACAGCAAACATGGCGCCAACATAACTACATTCTCAGATTCCACCCAATACTTTCTGTTTGCGGGAGTTGCTTTCTGTTTGCGGCCATACAAAAAGACAGCAAATATGGCGCCAACATAACTGCATTCTCATATTCCACCCAATACTTTTTGTTTGCGGAAGTTAGTGCATCTGCGTGTGCGTTCGTGCTGGCGTCCACGTTACCTGCGGGAGTGCATCTGCGTGTGTGCGTTCGTGCGGGCGTCTACGTTACCTGATCGCCAGGCTCTCCTCCCTCTTTTAACACCTCGACCGACTTGTACTCATAGTCAACATTCTTCAAAGCCAGTGCTGTTCAAAAAGAAAGAAAAGAAGAAGAGGTATTTCTGTTTGTCCACAGATAACGCTTCAGGTCGCAGGAAATAGGGCCACGGTGAAAGAAGAAAGAGGTGTCTTAACGAGGCCGGAGCAGGTGGCAAAAGTTTGATGGGGCTTCCCTTGTCTCCTGGCAGGGACACTGTTGGTTTAGGCGCCATCGCGCAGGCGTGGCCGCGTGCCGCGCGGTGTTGTAAACGTGTTCGCGAATAGGAACGCTTTTTGGAGCTGAGATCACCGGTCCCCTGATGCACATTAAGATGCCTCTGGACATGTTGCGTCATCTCACGGCATTTGCCAGATATTAGAGCGAACCTTCGCCACATTTGCTCTATGGCGAGGCGGCGCCGTTGAGAGACACCTCTCCCTTTTTCCGCCGTGGCAAGGGTGTTGAAGTGAACATAAAGGATACAAGAACGTACCGATCCGCACTCTGTACGGACAGGAGCCCGAATAACAGGAGTACAAAATGGGCTGGTGAGAAAAGGAAGACGAGTCGTCGTTTCACCTCGCAACGAATGCATATCACAACTGCCAAAATATCTCGTACAGTGAGTTGGAACCAGTGACGAAGCCAAAAACAGATCGCGATCGTTGACGAGCCATTCTTAAAATGATGTTAGGCATGCATGCATACTGTCCCGCGATAGATTGGGAACACCGGCCATTATTGTTATTTTCTTAAAATACATGGCTTGCATTGACGTCCCGTCATCCGCCATTGCTTTGTATCATGCTGCTGTGCCCGTACCTTCTGCCGCATGCATTCCGCATCATCTGTTCTCGGCAAGCTTCGCCGAGAAGAACAGTCTCGATGGTGCCAAATGTTTGCTGCACAAGTTAAGCACAGGATCATGGAACGAAGCAATGGCGGCTGGTACGGTGTCATATGAGCTCACGTGCAAGGCATGTATATTCCGTTCAGCCAGTGGCAAAGGTGAGCGGTATGACACCCAAGTATCTACAGTCCCAGCAGGAAAGAGGCGCCAAGGCATTTTGCGACTGAGACCATTCACGACGTTTAAGGGCAGATCCCCACTTTCTCGTTGTTTGAAATGTGACCGATACTTGCTATTCGAACTGTGCACGATGGCGTAATTTAGGCGCAAAGGAATGAAAATCTCACCTTGGAAGACATTTCTGCGAGCTATTGGTGCTCTTCAGCCCAGACGAAAGCCGATAATTGCGTAACTGTCGGCAACCAATAGCTGTAGAATGAGGCTTCTCCTGAAGGGATGATATAGTCTCCACAATGAGGCCTATTACCAATTTATCGCCGGTCAAAGTGATCTGGTCACGTAGGAGCTGACAATGCTGGGCAAGGGCACGTCAGCGTATTTGAATTCGCGAAAATCCAATGACGCGCTCGCCGCAAAATAGAACACGCCTAACTGAAACGTGGCGATGTCGCATTCGGCGTACTTGCAGTCAGACGGAGACTTGCAGCTGTTCTGGTCAGAACATCTGCACTGTTTGCAGGCTCAGATACCTAAGGGTGCAATACCCGCCAATCCCAGCACTACGTCGCCACAACTGGAGACCAAATCCGTCTCTTATTGCTGTTAAAGTTTAGAGAGGTGGAAGCAATGAACTTGTAAAACTGGCGCTGCAGTCCTGCCAGATGTCACAAAGCCATTTTTTTAGTTTAGCGAGATATACAAGGACTGCGTCCAGCACCACCAGCTGTGTTCCGATTTACGCTCTTTTCACCGCTATGTACAAGGGTTGTTGGGAGCTGCGTACTCGTCGGACCAATCAGTATCCTGCCTTTATCGCCTGTCCCCGCGGTGTTGCGCTTCAACATGCGCACAGAGAATGATCAGGGGGCGAAAGACTGACGATTGACTGGCCCAAAAAGCACTTAGTTTCCATCGCTTTCTCAGCTCATGTGTGAACTATGTATAGATAAAGGAACGCATCTGCGGTGTCTGTCGGGCTTTTATGACACGTTTCCAACGGGCACATAATTCCCGCAGCCCACTACCAAAAAAAAAAAGAAAAAAAGCTGTAACATTATCATCATCAGCAGAAGCATAACCACCACCACCAGAGAGGTGGCATCACGTGACTTTTCTGATGCCCAGCCATAAAAAGATTAAACTAGAATATGCAATCGCGTGATGTGCCCATGACGGACCGTGATTAGCTCGTCGCGGTGCGTCCGGAAGGTTTTACCAAACGAAGCTCGAGGAGAGGACGCGGTGCGTGGTGTGCCAGTTGTACGCGCGCAGTGCTGCACTTGCTCCGACGAGAGGACGAGCCGAGCCCCTCGGCAGTCTGAGTAAATGAAAGTGTGTGGCGTTGCCGAGACAGAGATGGGACTTTGCAGCGTGAACGGTTGTAGAAACCTTCCGCGGCGAGTAAGGTCCACAGGCATGCCCCTGTTTGGTTACGCCCTGAAGTTCACACTGACCTGAGCTTATTAGCGGTTCTCTTAGATTTTCGAGTCGGCGAGCTGCTCAAACGATGGATTTCGGCCCTTGGTTGCAACAGTGACTGGACTTCATCAAAGTGGAGTTCCGTTCGCTTCAAATCAGATGATTTCGAAAGTCGTGCCAGGTCGAATTGTGAAATGTAAATGTGCCCCTGCCAAGTCATTGAGTTAGTCCAACGTTTGTCACGATACATATTAATAAAACATCATAGTAAAACTCAATTGCATGGTTCAATGTTGGTATCTACGCATACCCAGAACAACCCCAAAGCTATTGTGAAGTTGTGTGAGCGCTCCACTAAACTTTTCACACCGGCGTGCACAAAATGATCTGTCAAAATTCGTAACTATTTAAATTTCAATTTATGCACAGCAGATTTCTCAAGCTGGCCGAAGTTACGCTCATCGTAAGAAAGTTGATATCCACTTGCACGAACGGAGTTTAAAAAAGATCATTCCTCACACCTATTGTTGTTACACGACCAAATAAAAGGCAGCAGGCGCCGTCAGCTGCCGCGATCATGAGCAGAACCAAGTAGAACATAATGCTGCTCAGTTTGTAGGTGCAATCATAACCATGTACCATTCAGTGGTCATGTGTGGTTCATATATGAGAAAGAAATAGGCGAAAACGATCAGAAACATGCGAGCGACACGGGAGGATGGCTTGGTAAAGCTACGTAAATGACATCATGCTTGACCCTTGTGGGAGCCGGGGGTGAAACACGAGGCAGAGGGCACGTGACAGGCGGCCGGCGGAGAAGGCACGAGCTGGGCGAGACATTGCGTGCTGAGCGAGGCTGGAGCTAAGCTGGACAAGAACGACGGAGCCGGGGCTGCCTGACCTGGCCCATCGAACCCTGGAGCGGTCCACCAGCGAGGTCTGGAGCAAGACCGGTGGAAACGGCGAGCCCGGGCCATATGACCTGGGCTATGACGATCCCGGGGTGGTTCCGCAGCGAGACTCGGGCATTGATAGCCCGGGACAGCCAGCCTACGCAGCGCTGGCGTGGGAAAGGCGATCCGCAGGCCTGGACACGGACCCCGACTGTGAGCCCTGACCGACGGGCGACAACAAAGGTCGGCGGGCCTGGACTACCGGCTCTCGACGACGGGCAACCGAGAGGTACAGTAAACCCATTCGCTGTCTTCTCGTTGCAGTGTGTAACTCCCTGGGTGACGGGCGGAGCGCATACCGATCGGGCGGTGATTATTAGTATAGAGGGACCTCCTCCGTAAAGAAACCCCACATTAAAATGGCGCATCCAACGTGGGGCCCGTTCGGTATGCCTCTGCTTCTAGTCGTCCCCAGAGAGTCCCATGGATTCGTTGAGCGGGTTGTTCACTAACGCTAACGATGCCCGTTGAGACAAAGTATGTTGGAATTTTGGTGACTTGTCTCACTGCAGAGCTCAGCAGGTGTCTCCTCGAATCGAGTACTTAAAGGTCTCGAAGGACGAGGTTGCGGACGCGCTTTCTCGGGTACCCCAGAATAGTGGTTGGCAGAAGGTGACGCAACCGGGGGGAACACGAGGAGCGCGGTTAAGATGTAAGAAAGTCGTCTTCGGAGGCAGAGGAGAGGCACGGCAGGTTCGTTGGAAGGCAGGATAGCGACTGGCAGGAGGGAAAACAGCCAGGATTTATTGCATCTTTAGGATTTAGGCTTGGAGTGATGCGGTGAGCCAGTAGGCGCTTGTCGAGGCCCGGGGTGCAGATCGGTTTTTGTCAGTGGGTGTCAGAAAGATTGCGGGAATTGCAGTTGACACCGGGAACACTGGCGGACGAGATTGTCAGCGGGTGTTGGATAAACTGGCGTAAATTTCAGTTGACACCGGGAACGCTGGTAGGCGAGTTAAGGAGAGTATGATTTGTAACCACTGGGACAAGACGGCTAGTTGCTTCGCGTCACTCCAACAACCGAGGAAAGGCAGAGGGACGACTCTCCCTTGAGGGGGTCTTTCCGAGAAAGCTGCGAAATGTTTTATCGGATACTTTTTCGGCTTCACTCTGGCCGGTAGTGGCAGTGACAGCAAGACTTTTAATAAGTTATGTCGCGTCACGACCTGGCCGGGGACGAGGCGGTAGGCATTTAGGTGGCTTGTAGTTGTCCAGCTTGCCTTGAGGCGTGAACGGTTTAAGCGGGCTTGCTCGCTGAGTTACCGCCCCCTCCGAGGACCGAGCAGTCCCTAGAGCTCGTATGCACGTGGACGGAATGGGACGCTGACGCTTACATCGAGTAGCACATGGTATATGTAGCCGTTGCGGAATTGCGGGTATGGTATCTGGTCATCCCGCCACAGGCTTTGGATCCCTTCGCTTGCGCAAAAGATGGACTAGGTTTACGCCATCGTTACCTGTTCTGAAGGAAACTCACGCTTTGAGCAACGCAGCTAGTGGTTTTGCCGCATCGCTTGCTCCGAGGTGAGAAGGGCACCCGAGGTATAAAGACGCGAGCGTCGTGTCTTATTTCTAGGCTTACTCGGCGAGATACAAACGAGGAGGCTTGCCCTGTTCACATCGCTGACTTGAAAGGATACTACCGTCGTCGCGATGGGGAAGGCGTATAGCATGAGGTTGCGGTAGGACACAAGAAATCCCCTGTTCTTAGCGACCCACAAGCGAGCTCTGGAATGCAGACTTGCTGAGTTGGCCGCATGGTACACGAACCCGTCGGCAAGCTATGTGGCGGTAGAGGCTATGGCCACTGCCACATTTTGCGGCAGAGTATTTGTTCGCTGTGCGTTGTTTTTACAGTTTGTTCTGCGCAGAATAGCTTCTTGGAAAGACGGCCGTATACAGACGGCGTAACCCAGGAAGCCCACCGGGAGGGAAGACGGGACCATTTGTTTTCCCAAGTGCTCAGGGTGGCTGACAGTTGTTCGGCCTGACGAACGGTTCAGGCGGGCAGTTCTAAGCCCGCTGTGACCTCTAAGCGGAACGGGGCAAGTCCGTCTGCGTCGGCCGGACCAGCTTAGAGCAAGCCCCCTGCTGCATCGCGGTGAGTGGGACAGCGAGCGACAGACAGGTCGGCATTGTCTGCCGGCTTCGCTAGCCACCACCACCCACGCCGCTTTCGGACGCTGCAACGTGGCCACTCCGGCAACAGCAACCGCGGCCGCCCATGAAACCCAGCGGCTCCCTGAGGCCCATGAAGTCCCCCGAAGTCCGGGCCTTGAGGGGGGGAGAGTGTGGGAGCCGGGGGTGAAACACGAGGCAGAGGGCACGTGACAGGCGGCCGGCGGAGAAGGCACGAGCTGGGCGAGACATTGCGTGCTGAGCGAGGCTGGAGCTAAGCTGGACAAGAACGACGGAGCCGGGGCTGCCTGACCTGGCCCATCGAACCCTGGAGCGGTCCACCAGCGAGGTCTGGAGCAAGACCGGTGGAAACGGCGAGCCCGGGCCATATGACCTGGGCTATGACGATCCCGGGGTGGTTCCGCAGCGAGACTCGGGCATTGATAGCCCGGGACAGCCAGCCTACGCAGCGCTGGCGTGGGAAAGGCGATCCGCAGGCCTGGACACGGACCCCGACTGTGAGCCCTGACCGACGGGCGACAACAAAGGTCGGCGGGCCTGGACTACCGGCTCTCGACGACGGGCAACCGAGAGGTACAGTAAACCCATTCGCTGTCTTCTCGTTGCTGCATGTCACTCCCTGGGTGACGGGCGGAGCGCATACCGATCGGGCGGGATTATTAGTATAGAGGGACCTTCCCCATAAAGAACCCCCACACCCTTTAAGGTGTTCACTATATTTCTTGGGCCCTCTTGAAGTGACCCGCATCACGCTACGATTTACTACAGAGATGCCCGAAGGAGGTGGATTAATTATCTGAAAGTATAAAAACATGCGCCT